TACATGCCCATCACTAGCCTTGCCAAAATTCCATTTTTGGCTTTGTCCAATTCGGGTAAACAATCTTCTCCTGTCTCCACAACCTTGGACATTTGGATAGCACCTACTATCCATCATTCGCTAGGGACTTAGTCCCTTGGGCCTTATCTATTGCCCTTGCAACACGAAACACCACCTCCTGGTGTTCTAGAGTGTTTGGGTGTCCCAATGATGGCCTCCTGACAATGAGCATTCCCGTTTACGACATTGACTTACTATCTTACAACATAAGCAATTTATCCCCCGTAAGGGTATATCTAACTTCCTTATGCCATTAAAAAGTTTTGGGTAGCTACCTTTTACCCATTTAACCAATTATCTTGCACCTCTTACTTAGTTGCCCCATAGTTGTCAAGTTTTACAACTCATTGCTTGGTGCTTTCACACCTCCATCATTATCTGGGTCACCACACTCCAACCGCATGTCTTCCAGCTTAGGCCATGCCATTCCCGCTTCCGTTGGGATTCCCTTGGCAAGGGGTTCTTATGAACCCACCAACATAACCTCAAGGTATCACACCTTGGCACATTTGGTGTCTCCACACCATCAGCCCCACGAACCTACTTTTATGACACTACTTATTAGTGTCTAGGTCTTTGCCAAGACCAATATAGTTATTCCTCATGCTAACTATCCATTAGCACCGCACCATAGTGTTTGCACCCAACTTTGGGCCAAAGTTGTTTTCTTCTGGGAACATCTTTCTCACAACTTTAGTATGGCACATTCTGCCATCAATGAAATACCTACTGTTTTCATACTTGGATCTTATGATCCTCCCTATACCTCATGGGGCACCATACACCTCAGTCCAAATGCTCCAACCAATCCCTTAGGACCATTCTCTGACTCCGCTTGAGTCATCCAGCATTTTGGACTTTGCTTATCCAACAACCTGCGAGGTCTCAGTCTTAGAGGTGCCAACTCACTGGAATACAACTTCTTGTATTCATATCCTACTCACAAAGACAATATTTGCAAATGTTACTCTGACACTTGATGATTTTCTTGGGGCTACCCTTTGCCCCTTAAGACTACTTGTTCATGTGATGAGGATAGCAACTCATCTTTAAGTACACCCCCAACTCCTTGGGTTGTTCCAGCATTTATTAGAAGTAGCCCCGACTACCATTTCAAGGACTGGTGTCCTCTTTTGTATTTGACCTCCCACGGTCAATAATTCCGGTCTCAAATTTATGAGTACCAGCTTCAACCATATAAGGGTAATCTTGTGACTCCTTTATTGTTTTGGACTCTGCATCTTTCCCGTGATCCCAACTATAGTTGTTTACCACAACTACATTAGCTCGTTTGCTGCGTCAAACGCTCATCTGGATCACATCCTCAGCTCTTTGAGGAAACCCTTATACTGTTCCCAAGATTCCAAAGTCGTTCCCTTACTGGCCCTTTTCCATCCACCATATCATGCACAAGTTCATGCATGAACTTGAGTGGAGAGCCATGTCCTTTCGACATGCTACTCCTCGAGGATAGGTCCATATCTAAGACCTTCCGATTCCAATACAAGCGGTGATATACTTAGTCACTAATAAAAGTCGGACTAAGGAACAGCTCCGATACCAAGTTGTAAGCGACTAAATTTTCCATTCTACTTTAGTCACTTAACCACACTTCCAACCACTTGGAGGAGTCTCACTCACAACCTCCATAAGTCCTATTTCAGACTTGGGCTTGCTAGCCCCGAGAATGGCATCCCCGCCACTCAACCTTTGCACTTGATCCAAGTGCTCCACGTGTCCGATCCCATGACCGACACCCCAAGGTACCACCGACATATCAGCCCGTTACGCTAAGGCCATGCCCCTTTACCTTGGTCACACCGGAGGTCTAACACCACCTGCATCATAGTCCCATCTCTCAAGGACTGGGCCATCCATCCAAGAGTGATCATTCCAGATCCACTCCTTAGCATCCTTAGGATGCCCACAGACATGGGGAATAGCCTTCCCCAATATCCCTTTTCCGGTCTTCACCAAGTCCCTTTCTGCCTCTGGCCGTGTTCGCCAACACTGCCACTGGATTGAGGCCCACAGGCTCGACCATTAAGTCCCACAGTCCTCTAGGACTTCCTCACCACTCGACTGTATCCTTGGTCACTACACCAAAGGATTACTCCTCTTCCTTTCCACAGTCTGGGCCTTTGGGACAACATTTCGGAACACCGTGGCCCTATGCAGCCTCATGGGTATTCTCCCCGCCTTCCCCCTTTGGGTGCTCTAGCCATGGGCTTAGAGCGAGGTTTCGTTGAGCCACACCAAGTATCCAAGTAGGTAGTGCCACTCACACTTGGACTAGGAGCATCGGCCAGTCGATCTCCCGGGGGAACTAGAGCCGGCTCTTGAACACTTCACTAAGCTACTCCGCTTGTCGGTCCGTATTCACTCTAGTCTTGGACTTCCCAGTGGTCAGTTCATCACCCAACACTGAGTATGGCCTTCCTGGGCCAAACTGGCCTTTCCTGGCCAAACTTGGGCTCGAACTCAGACTCGGACTCGGTCTCGGTCCCGGTTTCGGACTCGGACTCGGTCTTGGTCTCGGTCTTGGCCTCGGTCTCGGTCTCGGCCTCGGTCTCGGTCTCGGTCTCGGTTCCATCTCGGACTCCATCTCGGGTCCATCTCGGACTCCATCTCGGACTCCATCTCGGGTCCATCTCAGACTCCATCTCGGACTCCATCTCGGACTCCATCTCAGGTCCATCTCGGACTCCATCTCGGGCTCCACTTTGGACTCCATCTCGGGTCCATCTCGAACACTTCCACGTGTCATGTGTTGGTCCTTTTATGTCCCTTTTTGGAGCCTCGCTTATTGTTCACTTCATGCTCATTCCTTGAGCACTCCATTGGAAGTTCCACTCCCACTCTCAACCTCTCAAGTCGGAGCCTTTTAGTCCAAACGTGTTACGCTCGTTTGGCTTTTGCTTCGGCCACTACTACGTGGCACCCTTTCGGCTCCACTTTGGGGCTTAGGGATTTGTGTCTCACAGCTGGGTGACCTCCCGGGAAGTCCAAACTCAAAAACTTATAGGAATTTTGGTGAAGAAAGGATGTGTAGTGGTTCTTCGTATTGACAAACTCATTAAATAGATTTTGGTTGAGTGTTATGATATGTTAGGTTTCCAAGGGTACTAAAAATATATATATTGGTGAAGAGGCATTTCTTTTGGCTTGGGATGATGCTTGATTATTTGATTTACTATGCAGTCAAAGTTGATCATCAAAAGTTCACTAGCCTCTATTATCCTTTATATGTACCCAAGAATAAATAGGATAACATTTCAATAGACTTTATCATTAATTTACCTTTAGAGGAAATGATGCTATTTGGGTTGTTATGGATCATTTGGCAAACATGGTTTATTTCTTCTTAGTGAAAACAACAATTAAAGTTTCTAAACTTGCTCAGTTGTTTGTAGACCAATTATTCAATCTTTATGGTTTATTAGATGTGATTGGGATCCTAAGTTCATATCTAAGTTTTAGCAAATGGTACTTAAGAAGCTAAAGATTAAGTTAAGCATGAGTAGTGGTGAGCATCCACAATGGGCAAATAAAGCACATGAATCCTCTTTACAGATGACTCCTTCAATATAATCTTACAAAAGTATCTGGCTTGGGATGGTGAGCTAACCATCTTCTATAAATCTTTTCTTTTGAGTGTTTTCTAAGTACATAAACTCAGATTTATGTAAGAGCACAATAATGTGATCCAAACTTCTTGATTGAAAAAAGCAATGGAAGGCTGTGATTGATCATCTGTAAGGGATTAGTTGTTAGAAGATATGCTAAGGTCTTTTATGGGAAACATGACTCAACAAGGAGTATAGCAGAGGTACTTGCTTTTGTTTCAATTTGCTCACAATAGCACTTGTTAATTAGTTATTTGCATATATTTATTCATAGCAATGTATTGGTATAAGCTTAAGTCTCTTAAGTTTGGCTTTGGTTCAAATGCTTCATGTTTGTAATTTTTTGGAGGATATGCAAGACAAGCTTGAGTTGGCAAAGTTGAATATAAAACAAGCTTAAAATTGAGACAAAAGATTGACCAATAAGCATCATCGTCATTAAAAGTGTAAAGTTGGTGACAAAGTTTTCTTTAAGCTGTCACATGCACAACAATCTGTAAAAAGAAGTGGCAATTCTAAATTGTCTTTATGGTATTGTGGGTTTTAAATAATTTTACAGTATATAAAGGATCTTGTTTATCTTTAAAACTTGCCAACTGATTTATCCAATGTTTTATATAAGTAAACTTAAAATGTATTTACACTTTGGTGATGTTGTGGATTAGTCTATCATCCAAGTCCTAAAGATTGATGTTGAGAAGGTTAATCCAGCCAATATTTTTACTTAAAGATTAATGAAAATACACTATAAGACAATTCATGAGTTGTTAGTTCAGTGGAATGATTATTCTATGGATGAAGTTACATGGGAAATTGAGAATAATGTGAAGAGAGTATTTTTGAGTTTTAGTTATAACTTATGTAATATTCTTGAGAAAGGGGAAAATTAAGTCTTATAACCATATTATTATATGATTTAAATTGTTTACTCTATTCTCATTTTCTTGTTTCCATGACTATATTGTCATGTGAGAAAGTTATATTACTTTCTTTCATGGCCATTTGTCATGACATTAATATTGTTGTTTGCACATTTTTTCTCATGGCTATATTGCCTTAGACTTACTTCATGTGAGGTTCATTTAACTTCTCGAAACTACCATCCCTAGTTGGTTCATTGGGGAGGGAAAAATAACATGAATCATAAGAGTATTCTAAAAATGTTTTATACCATGTGGGATTTAAAGTTGTAAAGCTTTAATGGTTGGGGTTCACTCCTTGTTCATTTTAATTTGTCAGAAGGGCAAGTTCACAGCCATAATGTTTGACTAAGTCTTCTGTAAGAATCTAATAGTAAAATTTCAAATCTTATCAAGCTTCAATTGCTTCTTGGTGTTAAGATTTATGGGCCAGCTTTGGGGGGCTGTATATCTAACACTATCCTCTAAACCACAATGAAGTTGGCCATAGAAACTTAGTCACAGTCTTCCAAGGCCCAACGGCCACATTTGGAGGTACCAGGAGATCCAAACGCTAATATTTCAAGCTCTCCCCTGCAAAAAGCATTGCTAGATCGACCCCCTTATATATGCAAACCATGGCACTTTGCCACGTGTCGTGCCACCACGAATTTTATTTACTGGGAGCTGAACTCTCGGCCAAATCTCCACTTAGCGATTGCAGCCTGGCAATGGCAGCCTGTATTTGATCCTCCCAGAATTTGGGACCCTGGCTCTCACTTCCCTCCATGGCACTGCTCCACGGTCTCTTGGCCAGATTCGCGTCCTTGCAGCTCAACCGCTCTATGATCTTTTGAATCTTGTCCTGGATCCTGGCAAGTGCTGCCAATTGTGCTTCTTTCTCCTTGTTGAGACATTTGTCGCTGCGATCTACTACTTCTACCCCTTGCTCCATCTGAAAGACAGTAGATCTAGAGGCTATCTCCAATTCCAATTCGAAGTTAGAAGAACCTTGGATGCATTTTTTAGTGGTGAAGATTCTGGATCATCGCTGGCCTCGAGTTCCCGAACGCGGAAGCCCTGAATTCTGCGAGAGTGGTAGCGCATACGTCAAAATCACTTCAATGTCACAACTTTCTTTATTTCCAGCCACTCCTGAAAGACTCTAAAGATTATGGAGGATCACTTGACCTTGTCTTTCCTTCATCGCTGGGGATTCTACAGCAGAGAATAACTTGTAATCGCCTCCTAATGCCCATTCTCTCCTGTGAAACCATAATAAAGATTTAGAACCATCTCAAAATCTCGGAGGGAAAGTTCTTCCAACTTTAATATTAGAGAGCGAAATGAATCAAGCTGGTTGGCACCAACGGCATTCTCTGATCTTCTCTAGCAGGGAATTTTTCTTCAAATAACAACTTTAAAAAACAAAAGAAAAACAACAGAGGAAAACGCTTGCCACTGACAAACTTGTCATAGTTCAAAACTCTCCACCTTCGGTAGCATACATGATCCCTGCATACATGTTAGCCAGCAGCACGTAGTTAGCGGCAGCGTTCCGGTCGTTAAGCTCCGCGGCATGCTGCGCGGCAATGGCGCCTCGGCATACGTCACCGTGCTTACCGCACGCCCCCAGCAGCGTCATCCAGCCCACCAGCCCCGGCTGATATGGCATGCTGCCCAGCAAGCTCTCGGCCTCGTCGAGCTGCCCCAGCCGACCAAGCATGTCGACGATGCAAACGTAGTGCACAGCGCTGCAAGGTACTCCAAAGTCATCGGTCATGGACACAAAGATCCGCCACCCTTGGTGCTTCAATCCGGCGTGGCTGCATCCCGAGAGTATCCCTGCCAAGCTCGCCTCGTCCGCGTTGAATCCTTGGAGCTCCATCTCCGAGAAGAGCTCCATGCTCGCGCTCCAAGATCGTGACCCGCCCAGCGCCGCCACAGCCCCAGCCATGGCGTTCCAGCTCGCGAGGCTCTTACGCTGGATGCCGCGGAATGCCACGCGGGCCTCCTCCAAGCTCCCGCAGCTCGCGTACATGGCCACCAGCGCGTTGCCGATGCACGAGCTCTCGCCCAAGAGCTCGCCCGGGATGGCATCACGGTGGAGCGCTCTCCCCACCGCTATCTCGCCCAGCGCGCCACACGCGTTCAGCAGGAGCACGAATGTGATCTTGTCCGGCGTCACGCCGCCAGTGCCGCCCGTCGCATTGACTAGTTTGACCGTACCGCCCCTGCCGTTGACTGTACCGCCGTGGTTCAAGAGCTCGAGCGCGTCTCTCGGGCGGCCGTTTTGGACGTAGACCGCGAGCATGGCGTTCCACGGCACGATGGTTTTGTCGGCAATGCGCTCGAATGACGATCGCGCAGCGTCGCAATCACCGCACTTGCCAAACATGTCGATCAGCGCGGTGCCCACGAACACGTCCGACTCCAAGCCGCGCGACACAACCGCGGAGTGAACCTCCCGCCCGGCGTCCAAGTCGGAGCTCCCTGCGCAGGCCTCAAGCACGCTCACAAACGTCGTCGCAGCCGGCTCGATCTCCATCTCGCGAAACAGCGCGAACGCTTCCTCGCGGCGGCCGCTCTGGGCGTAGGCCTGGATCATCGCAGTCCACGCCACCGCGCTCCTCGAGCGCATCGCGTCAAAGACTCCCCTCGCCTCGTCCGGCCGCCGGCGCTTGCCGTACAAGTCCACCATCGCATTCCCGAGCACGCCATCGATTCCTAGCCCGGATCGCAGCGCGCGCTCCTCGAGCGATCTCGCCGCCGCGAGCGCGGCAAGCTCGTCCCTGGAAGAAGAACTGGATGCCAGCGCGTGCACGACGCTCACGAACGTCTGCTCGCTCGGCCTCACGCCTTCCAAGTCCATGGCGTGGAAAAGCTCCATCGCCTCGTCGCTGCGATCGCTCTGCGCGTAGGCCGCGATCATCGTCGTCCAGGATACGACGTTCTTCCTCTCGATGCTTGCGAAGATCTTCCTCGCGGCGTCTGGCATGGCACATCTCCCATGCATCGTCACCAGCGCGCTGCTCACGACCTCGTCCTGCTCGAATCCGTGCTCCAAAACGCTTGCATGGAGCTCCCGCCCGAGCTTCCAGTCCGAGCACACCTTGAGGAGCTCGAGGTACGTGACGCAGTCGGGCTCCACGCCGTGGTTTCGTCGCATTTCCCGGTACAAATCCATAGCCGTGCTCGAGCTCGAGCTCCGGCCTTGCGCTGCGATCAGTTGGTTCCAGCAAAAAACGTTTTTTGCGTCGTGCCGGATCAAGTATCTCCGCGCATCGTCCAGGCTCCCGAGCTTGCAAAACATGCCAACGATCGCCAGTGCCACGGCTCTCACGGATCCAAAACCGCCATCCACGGCTCTTGTCTCGATCTCCCTTGCTTCTTCCAGATTCTCGCAGGCCTCGGCGATGGAAGCCAGAGTATACTCGTTTGGAGTCACGTCCATAGCCTTGTAGAGCTTCACGGCCTCTCGGTTTTGGCCACTTAGAGCATACGCTCGGATCATACTTGTCCAGGACACTACGTTCTTCTCACGTAGGCTGTCGAATATCTCGCGAGCTTCTCCCGGTCGCTTGCATCGGCCATACATACCGATGAGCGCCGTCCCCACGACGAGATGAGCTCCAAATCCACAGGCATCCACGCGAGCACGTACATAAACCGCTAGATCGATCGAACCAAGCTCGGAGACCGACGATATGACGCTCACAAACGTTACTTCGCTCGGCTTGACTCCTTCCAGATCCATCTCTCGAAACAAATGCAATGCCTTCTTGCCATGCCCGGTCTGGGCATTTGCCGCAATGATAATGTTCCACGAGAAAACGTTCCTGTCGCCCATGCTTCTAAACACCGCATCTGCCTTACCCACGTCCTGGCACTTTCCATACATCTCCATGAGAAGATTTGCCAGGAATCTATCAGATCCCATCCCCGATCCAGTAATCTGCCTGTGTAGGGACTTACCCCTGGAGAGATCCCTGCTGCGAGCGCATTCTCGCAAAGACCTCGCCAGCCTGCCACCATCTTGGGTGTTGGATTCGTGAAAATCACCCGCGGAAAGATGGAGATAGCGAGACGACCTTGGCCTTCTAGCAGAACGAGCAAGCATCCACTGTTGAGTCGGGCAGCCGAGGTTGGGGCCGATATGCCTAGCCGGGCACCCGAGATAGTAGCGGAGACCGAGCTCGACATAATTCACATTTGCTGGCACACTGCCAGCCAAAGCTTCTGGATCAAACTAAGTACCATCGTTTTTTGGATTGATGGTGGCTCGTTCTAGAAACTTTTTATGCGCAGCTAGCTGTGTGTCGCTACAACATCCAACCCGATTGGGCAGCAGCCCCTCGTGGAGTTGCCGGACAACTGCCAGGATCTTCTTCGCAGCATCAGGTCTTGAAGGAAAAATATAAAATCTGAGAGATAGGGACTTCGCCATCGTCGGAGAGCAACTTTTGAGAGCTTGCTACAACGTGGGCGATCGAGGTTTTCTGCTTTCTTTAAAATAATAATAACTTATTATTACTGCTGCTATTATTATTATTGTTATTGTCAGCATATAGAAAAGACTCATTCATTTCCAAGCGGCTGTAAGGGCATTGACAAGAAAAGAGAAAGATGCTCTTGGCAGTGGCTCCATTTGGCTGTGTCTGGATGGATCGGCCGCCTCGAGATGTGTAGAACAACACACCCATTATTATTACAGACTTGCAGCCAAAAGCTTGGAGCAAACCAAGAAATTTTCCCTCCAAGGACAAGAAAAGTGGGAGATCCGTCTTGAGCATGCTTTGTTTGTGGGTGTGCCTCGATTTTACTCACTACCAAAAGCAAAGATGCTAGCAAAGGTGGATTTGTGAGCGATTCATGGGAGCATTTGTCATGAGAGATGAGCGATAGATCTTTCAAAGGCTTCTCGCTTGCTTGTTCTTCACATCAAAGAAGAGAGAAACTTGACGCTAGCTAACTCAATCTTTCCCATCTTTCCCCCACCGACTTGGCAACCCATGGGGTCCAAAACAATTTGGTGCATTGATTTAGCGGTGGAGGTGCTGCCACCCGCACAGTGCATCCCTGGCAGTGATCAAGGACGTGTTTCCTCGTCGATCCACATAAAGAAAACGAAATACATTTTCCAGGCATGAGAAACCAAAAAATATATATATACTGTATTTCTTTCTTTCTTTAAATTATTTGGAATGGTGTTATAATCGGGCAACAAACATGCGTACCACGACGGTGCGCCCCAAAAACACGCAACACCAATGCAATCACACCGCAAAACAAGACAAATTTTCTTGCCTTTTTTGACCCCCCAAACTCTCTTTAATCGCAGGAAAACAAAAGAAAAGCACGCATTTTCCAAAAAAGAAACTTAATAAGAACACCTGCAGCTACCCAACGAATTTATTTCAGTTTTTGCCTAGCGAGGAGCTACGTCGCCAGATTGAATGAAGCAGACTGTGACCACACCACCCCTCCATAGAAATTGGATAAACAGCCCAAAGTGATCCCATGTAGTGACATGACCTCCAATGCTCTTCTTCCTCTAAGTTGCGATGGAAGTGACAGATCCAGAGATCAAACAAAAAGAAAAAGAAAAAGATGTATCACGTACGTACACGGTGGTGGGTTATACTGTCACTATACCCAGAGTACTACACACACATGGCTACATGCCACTTTGAATGGAAGTGACCACAAGCAATGGAGTTAACAGTCCCTGTTAGACTTCTATTTTTAACAGGACCCGTGCCTTTAAGCTTGTCATCCATCTCTCTCTTGACACACACAACATTCTTCTTATATCCTCTTTATAACCATTTTCTCACTTGAAGCGTTGCTTTGCGCGTTTGACTCAGTGTACTTTGGAGGTCAGATTAAAAAGCCTCGCTTCATGTGTGTGTACGCTCTCGCCTCCTTGATGAGGAGATTGGGGAGTATAAATACTGCCGTCCCCAAAGAATTTCTTCCAAGCGTTTTTACTTTCTCTCTTGTTCTGCTTCCTCCTCGCTTTCGGCCGAGAATTCATCTCCAACGTTTTGTTTGCTTGCTCTTGTCGTTGCTGGTTTCGTTTCCCCCGAAAGTTGTCAGCGGAAGTATGGCCGAGAGAAGCTCGAAGAATGCCGTGGTTTTCCTCTTGTTGGCCATGGCTTTGTCCTGTTACTTTGTCTTCCCGGTCTCGGCGAGCAGTCGAAAGCTGGCCCAAGCCATGAAGCAGCAGCACAAGGCGGAGGAGCTCGCGTCTCAAACGCCGCCGGGCTCGGCTACCAGCGTTGCTCCTCTCGATCCTGCTGCTGCCACCACTCAGTTCGTTGCCCCGGACACGAACTCCAACAAGCTCGATTCCGCCCCGGCCGAGGATGATCTGCATTACGTGAGGAGTGCTCCCAATCCGATGCACAACAAGTGACATACCTCTCTCAAGTATCTCGTAGCGTAGCAGCGGATCCGCCCCGGAAGTTCCCAAAGTTCCATCTCCGGGAGTTTGTAGGAAGACGTTTCCACCTGGTTCAAAAGTCGGGGGCTTTGATCTCGAGTCAAGTCGAGTCGGGTCGAGTCCAGGAGTTTCTTTCCTTCCCGGTGGTGATGGTCGATGATGATGATGATGAAGATGATGATTCTCGCAAGTAAAAGAAGAATATCAGAGTCTCACGATTTGAAGAGTTTCATGTCGTTTTCGTTCTAACATGGACTTTTGTTCTTTGTTCTTTGTTTCTCTTTCTTTCCTTGTTTGCGTTTCAGCTGAAGGAAATTCACCGTTGGAAGGTCGTTTGGTCAATCATCGCCCAACAGCAAGTCGCGCCAGCCACTCAAATCCTTCTGGATCTTGCACTGCTGCCGAATCAATAAATTAGTCCCAGGAGCGAGCAGCAGCCACTCAGATATGGTCCCCCGGCTCGTACGACGCAATGGAAACTTTTATCTCTCCTTCTGTTCGCTGTCACTCCTGTTCCATCATCATCAGCTGCAGCAGCAGGAGCATGGCATCCAGAGTTAAGAGAGGAAAACAAAAATAAAAGAAGGAAAAATCTGCTTGCCTTCCAACTTTAACTTCTCCACCCGAAAGCCGTCCTGGGAGAGGGTGGAGCGTCGAGATGAGAGATGACGAAGACCGGAAGATATTTTCCCGGCAGCAGCGAAGGAGCTCGCGTGTTTGGAGCTTGGATCCACTGCGGAGGGGATGGGCGATGATTGCCAGCATCACGGACAGATTGTAGGACTGTCGTGAGACGAGAGAGATCTTGACCTTCCTTTGGATTGGATTGCAAGCAACAATGGCCTCCAAACTCATTCATGTGTCCATGTTTCTCGCTTCCACGAGTGTCCTGTCAAAGGCTTGTCTGCGTGTGTCCCATATCGATATGTCTCGTTGCTCTCAAACGCTCCAGCGAGTTTCAGGACGGGAGGAGAGTTGTAGTCCATATGTTTGCGATGAGTACTCGTGCACCAATCTATGGAGAGCTCCAAAAACTCAATCGTACTCTTCCACTCCTGGAAATGCGTGCTTGCGGGAACAAAGAAAAACGGGAGTAAGGCAAGAACGTAAAAACGGGAAAGCAAAGTTCGGATCGAAAGGATAAGGGAGAGAGCAAGCTGTAGTTTCATCCTCATTCACACTCGCGAAACGACGTCCTACAGACACAGCGACGTAATGGCGTCAATGACACAGTGATTGACGCAAGGACAACAAGCACAAAAGAACACCGTGTTCTTTTCCGTGCACCAAAGCTAGGAAAAATATCACATACCAAGCAGAAATCGCAGTGAGCGACCGCGAGTGAGTTTCTTGCCTTCTTTTCCATCTCTGGCACGAATGCATCCTACCAGCAAGGCAAATCCAGCCGAAGATGGACTGAACACGAAGAGGGAGGAAACTTAACACACAGGCGAGACGAGCTATGCCAAAAGGAAAAGTGCTCCAACAAAAAGATCTCGCTGGGCACAGAATAAAGCTGCGATGATGATCCATCTAGGCTATACAGCGCTGGACATGGCTGCTTGATTCAAGACACGGCAAAGACACACACATACACAGAGCGCTTCTTCGTTTCCGACACGAAACAAGCAAGGGCTCATAAAGAAAGGAATGGGATTTGCAGGGCAGTCAGGGACCAGCTTTACCTGTGTGAGAGCGCCGGAGGAGCTGGCGATGTGGACATTGCGAGATCTCTCGGCGGATCGCCAATGACGCGCTCCCCCCATTTTTTAACTTTGAGTTTCTAAACGTTAGGGCTCTTGAGGGCAGGTATCCCTCTAGCTTCCATCTCTTAGTGGTTCTTTCATTCTCACGCTTTTGTGGTTGATTTCGGGAAAAGAATGTAGTTTCTTCGATGGTATTGCCAGTTCTTGCACATTTATTTTGTGAGTTCTATCATTAAAAATGTGTAGTTTTATATATGTTTGCAGAGTTAGTGGATCTGGCAGCACTCGTTTTCATTTCGTTGCCGTCTCGTATAGTCGGTACCGACGTCCACTGTTCGTATTCCTTTTTTTTAGTTCTCTCTTTAACTCATGCTGTGCTAGGAAGATCTTATTTCGCAACAGCTTCTGGACGAGGTTGGCAGTACTGTGGTAGTGGAAACGCATTGTATATGCGAGACAGCTTCTTTTATTTCTCTGCTCCTACATGCTTGAAGGTATAGTTTCTCTGGAGCAGGAAAACAAAGCTATCTGGCTGCCCCGAAAGAAGGTTCGCGTTCTATTCTCTTGCAAACTATGAAAGTTTTTTCGCGTGTTTGTGTTTGTTTCACGCATATACTCATTTTCGCTGCAATTTCTGAACTCATTCTTGACATAACATTGACTTTTGCTCGATCATTCCTTCGTTTGTAGATCCCTCTTTTTCACTTTCTTCCTGTCCTTTTCTTATTACATTGAATAGTTTTGTACAAGTATTATCAATCGTGTTCGAGTTGAGCAATAGACATCTTATAAAGTGTATGTCCCAGACTTCTTTCAACGAGCTCTGCGAGGTATGGAAGGTTTCTGGATTCACAATCAACTGTTTGCAGACTCTGAATATGGACTCGTAAGCCGATATGATCCAATTTTGGTTCCTCGGACAGGTACTGTAAGTATATTTTGGTTACCATTTCAGAGTCTTACAGGTTCTATCTATCTATATATGCTGTTTTGATAGTCTTATAGTGCCCAACTGGAAGCATGAGACTGATGGATGCAAAAATGCAAGTTGGATTATCTTTTTTGCGTCGGTGGCGTCCTTGTTGTACTAGTGTTACTGCCATATCCATTTCTCCCAAAGCTTCAAGGTGTTGCTTGCTATACTGTCTCATCGTTGTAGTTATTAAAACTGGCTTATCGGTACGACTCGTTTCACCATTTCGTTTCCTAGATTTCTCTTCTATTCGATATTGCAGGGACTGTGTTCTTTATTCTCGTCAACAACTCAGTGGCATGTATTCAGTTGCGAGCTCGAAAACGAAGGGACACAGGAAAAATCGCAGCTAGAAACTGCAAATGGAGCCTTGTTTCTTTCTAGGCCCTTCAATTGGAGGCTTCACTCGCGGGAAATTTTAAGCACTTTCTTGTAAACAAAAACTGGTGTTTTTTTTTGTTTTTTTGCAGAGTTATATGCTTTAGTCCTTCCCCCAAAATCTGATGCCGCAATCCAGGTATCGATTTACTTTCCATCTTTTCTTCACCTTTGTGGTGCTTGTGTGATTTTGAGGAAAGAAAAATTATTTTTGCAAACTATGAAATATTTTATCTCTCTATGTCGTCTAGTCATTCTCGGTTTAGTTAACTGTTTGTGATGATTTATGATTACTCTTTCAGATAGCAACTGCTGTAAATAAAAAGTCTGGCGATCATGGAGTCATTTTCGCTCTGCGGTTTGCCATTTGTGAGCTCATTCTTGCAACTCAACATTGAAGTTTGTTTAATCCTTCATTTGATTTGGAGCATTGTGCAGCGATCATTGTCTACTTCCTTGCTCAAATTCACTTTCTTTCTTTACTCCTCAGTTTTGTACAATCTGGACTGTTAAAGGATTGGACATCTTACCACGATCTTGTCTTACGCGGACATGTAAAGTGTCCAAACTTTGATATTTCACAACTATTGAGATGTCCCAGAGCTCTTTCAACGCGCTCTGCGAGGTATGGCGATGTTCTTTGCTCGGTTTTGATTCTCAATCAACTGTTTACAGGGTTTGCTCGCCCCTGAGGACGAGGAGCAGCACCAAACGCACATCGTGGAGGGATGCCCCGGATGCAAATGCTCGCATTTGCAACGCTCGGGAGCTCCTTTTCCCAGAGGAATGATGCTCGTCGTCCTAACCATGTCGATGCTGAATGGTAACTTGAGAGACTACACTTGAGATCACCAAAACAGTTCCATTCTTTGCCGCGCAGCGCTACCGATCCAGATCCTCTATCCATTCCTTTATTTTATGGTACGGCATACAACGTTGATACTGCTTCACCTATAGTCCTTTGTTTTCGCTTTCAACAGGTTGAAGATTTCCATGTCGACAAGAGGAAGATTGGCACATTCGCCGGCCTCATTGGTAATGCAGTGATTTCTTCCTTCTTTCTTTGTTATTCATTAAGCTAAACAGCCAGTGGATACATGGTTGGAAGAACTGCTACCGGTTTTGCGTGGGGATATATGGCCGATCACCACGGAAGAAAACCGGTCATCTTTTGCGGGATGCTCTCCTTGTAAGGCTTCATTCGTGGTTACATGTTTTTTCTTATTCTCGTCATTACCTGCAGGATTGTGTTCAATGCTTTGTTCGGTGTGAGTACCTCTGTCTGGATGGCATTCATAACGCGCTTTCTGCTTGGAGCGGGCAATGGTCTGTTTGCCATTTTGGCGGTAAGTAGAATATAAAGTTTCTGCGTTTAGCGAACGTTTCCCAGGTTTATGCGACGGAGATTTCTAGTATTGAGCATCGCCCTTTTGGACTGTCGACTGTAAGCTTTAGATCCTCTGGGTTCCGAGATCGGCATAACGTTTTTCTTGATTTCTAGAATACTATAGTTTGGGGACTGGGACTGATCATTGGTCCAAGCATTGGAGGCTTTTTATCAAAGGTTTCATCACTTGGAGATCTATATCTTACTCCTCTTCTTTACTTGCTTTTCTCTGTTTCCAGCCTGCAGAGAAGTATCCTGGTCTTTTTGAGAACACGTTCTTTGACAGGTAGGCGGAATGTTCTGACGAAGAAGTGTTCTGTACAAAAACGCTTGAACAGATATCCGTATTTGCTTCCACCGCTAGCATTGTCGTTATTCACTTTTTTTTTGATGTTTTCCCTCCTCCACCTTCCGGTGAGTCCTGAATTTCCAGTAGATTATCTGATCGCGAGTGCTCTCACCAGGAAACTCGGCATAACCATATCATTGCATCTCCCAACAAAAGCGAGAAGAGTAACTCGATATTTAGAAACTATTCTTTCTGGATATCCAACGTCGTCTACTGCTTGTGGGCTTTTCACGAGATTTCATACAATGAGGTAAAACTTTGGTTTCGATTTCTCCTTTATGTTTCTTCGTTATCATTTTTTTGGTCAAATTTGCAGACTTTTCCACTTTGGGCTGTAAGTCCTGGTGGACTCAGATGGTCAAGCCAAACTGTTGGTTTGGTTCTCGCATTTACAGGTGACGAACTCAAGAGTTTATTTCAAGCTGTGACATTGTTTTCTCTTTTATTTTTTCCATCTCAGGTGTTTGCCTGGTGTTTAATATGCTGTTTATTTTTCCCATGCTCATAAACCGTTATGGTCCAATTTTGGTAGCGCGGACAGGCACTGTAAGTATATTTCGTTTACCATTCCAGGATCTTCCTTGTTTTTCAGGTTCTAAGCCTAATAGTGTTAGTGCCATATCCATTTCTCCCAAAGCTTCAAGGTGTTGCTTGCTACGTTACCGTGATTATCGTTATAGTTATTAAAACCGGCTTATCGGTACGACTTGTTTCACCATTT